AGCTAATATCCACACAGCTTTGACTGTCTTTAGCTGCTAGCTACACAGCTAATATCCACACAGCTTTGACTGTCTTTAGCATCTAGCTACATAGCTAATATCCACACAGCTTTGACTGTCTTTAGCTGCTAGCTACACAGCTAATATCCACACAGCTTTGACTGTCTTTAGTATCTAGCTACACAGCTAATATCCACACAGCTTTGACTGTCTTTAGTATCTAGCTACACAGCTAATATCCACACTGCCTTACCCACTATGTCAAACCCACAAATTCTGATTTAAACAGAATAAAAGTCAAACATAAACCTAAAGAAACTGTTAATAAAAACTTACTAAAAGTTCTTCACAGCCTCAAAATCCAACCAAGTGGGAGAGAAATCAAACCAAACAAACTGAGGGGGGCTTCAGGAGATAACGAGGTGAGTGTGAACAGGTGAGTTCTGACAACAGGTGAGAAGATTTACCAATCAGGTCAGCCTGGCTGCAGAGCAGCAACAACAAAAGAAAAAAGAAACAAAAGTTCCAGAAACAAACTGTATCAGAAAGGAGAAGAATTTTAATTTAATTATTCTGTTTAGTGACTAAATCTGGAGAAAAACCCAAAGTTTAAAAAAAAAAACTGTGAGCACCAACAGATTTATTCATGAGGTTTGACTGGAAAGGCTTTATTTCTCAGAGAGTTTAAACTCTGGGATTAGATTAGAATAAGTTAGAAACGCAGCAGAGAGAAGTCACAGTTTGTCCCTCATCAGTGACTCTCCACACAAACAAACAGAGCGTGTCGGCAGCACTCTGCACGAGCGTGTTGCCACGGGAGGAGTGATCGATACGAGCAGAAAGGCCTCCTGACAGCACAGGAAACAGCCGGGATTAGACGGATTTGTTCCAGGCTTTTCTGCTGAGTCAGCAAACCAACAGCTGGGCTTATTGTAACGTCTGTTTGGAAACACGCACCGTAGCATCGCTCCTATAAACCGTCTAAAACCTTCATCCTGATATTTAATCACTTGTCTCTGCTCCGACCAGCAGCATCTGTAGATCAGACGTTTCAGACGTCTGCAAAGAAGCAGAAGAAACCAGGATCCTACAGTTTATCCAGGAGGCAGCTCGTTGGATTTTAATTCATTTTATATTAAATGTAAAGAACATCCCAGGAATTAGACAGATCCCAGCGGCAGAAAACAGAGCATCTCATGAACAATTAGTGTAAGAACATCTACATCCTGATTAACCTGGTCCAAGATGGCCGCCACAGCTACATGAGCCAGCTCAGTCAGGTTTACAGATTATAAGCTAAACTTTGGCGTGGTAGTAGCCGAGAGTCGCCCTCGTAACGTACTTTGAGATCTATCTGACGCGTAAAGTTTTAAGGTTTCACCAAAACAGCTAAAACTCCATCGTTTATCAGCTAAAATGATCCATATCAGGCTGTTTTAGTGGATCTGAAAATAGCAATGAGCTAAAGATGTTAGCATTAGCTTGCTGCTAACAACTTAAAACCAAACACTCTACAACACAAACCTGGATATTCAGGCTGGAAAGGTCAAAGGTCAGGGCAGCATCTACTTCCTGGTCTCTTTGGTCACGTGACTCGTTCATTATTACTCTTCATCTTATTTGATGAAGAGGAGGGTTTCCCCACCAGCTGCTCTTTACTCTGAAACACCTTTCTGTTTTTGCACCTTTCTTTCTTCCGGGGCTTCCACATCTCAACCATTTTTCTTTTCATCACACATTAACGGTGACGGTACCTTCAGGAGGACCGGCCCGCCGCCCGACACAACCCATTAATTCAGCCGGCGCTCCGACGCAAACAGCCAGGCTGCGGGGCTTTTAATTGGCC